CCTCCTCCTCCTCCTCTTCTTCTTCTTCTTCTTCTTCTTCTTCTTCTTCTTCTTCTTCTTCTTCTTCTTCTTCTTCTTCTTCTTCTTCTTCTTCTTCTTCTTCTTCTTCTTCTTGCAGGCAGGGGGGCTTATCTTGAGAGATCTTGGCGAGCATTTTTCGTTGGCCCCGAGAACCAGAAGGACCCACCCGAACTACAGCTCCCAGATTGCTCTCTACAAGCCATCCAGGCTGTCCGTCTTGACTCGCATTCCCGTTATGCAAAGCCAGGTTCGGGATCGGAACTACATTTCCCAGTGGGCACTCGTTGTGTACGACGATTCCCGGCCTCGGATGGGGGTGCTGTTAGTACAGGACGGATCTGGGAGCCAGAGGGGTTCCTGTCTCCACGCCAGAGATTGACAGGTTTGTGGAAACCTGGATGAGAGGGCTGTTTGGAGAGTCCCCCAAGGTAAGTCTGGAGCAAGAGGGACTGAAGACAAAGAAAAGGAGGTTTGCCCACTGGCTGTTGTTGGGTGGGAGAAAGATTGGGTGTTGAGCTGGGAGACTGAACAATCAGTGAAGGATAAAGGCTGTACGCGTTGCGGACTTGTGTTTGGAGAATCAGTGCACCTCGTGCGTGTGTGCGGTGGAATAGTGTTTGTGTGTGTTGATTGTGCGTCTTGTCTGGAGTACACAGATAACGTTTTCAATACGTAGGCTGCACTCGTGTCGTCTTTCCGTTGTGGGTAAATGTCACGACTTTTTAAATTGTGGGGAAAAGGAGATGCAGTGTCAAATAGGGAAAACATACCCCCCACCCCCCACCCAAACAAAATAAAATAATTTTGTCCCGTCTTTCAAGTTCATAACTACAATACAGCTAGATCATGTCGGGTGGGTAGCCTGCAGTAGAAGCCCAGGAGTCGAGTCTAGCAGCACACTGAAGACCAGCAAGATTTTTAGCATGTAAGCTTTTGAGAGTCAAGGCTCGCTTCACCAGGTACCAATACAGTACAGCTACAGATTGGTTTTACTTTCTGCCTGACTCAAGCTACATAAAATTCCCAGCCTGGGCAAAAAGCTAATGGTAAATCCATCGACCCTTCTCCGCTTCCATTATGTGGACAACAGTAAACATAATTCACTGTACGAAGGATAAAGCATGATGATTTATTATGTATTAATAATGATTGGTTCGAACCTCAAGCATTGTAAAGTCAAGGAGTCAGTGCATTTTTTAAAACAATTAATTTTGCACTGTGCCTAAAATGTTCTGACCTATTTATTTAAGCTACTTCAGCAATTTGCACTGTGCCTAAAATGTTCTGACCTAGTATTTAAATATTTAAGCTACTTCAGCAAGTGACATGTGCTTCACAGATTTAGGTGTCCAGTTCCTGGAATGTATAGTACTATAAATTAAGTAATTACATAATACCATTTTGCCACAGATTAATCATATAGCCTTTGACATAGTGCAGTGTTTTTCAAACTGTTTTTGGAGAACCCCAAGGGTTCCTGGGAAGGAGAGGTGATATGGTATAGCCCTATCTTGTCAGACCTTGGAAGCTAAGCTTGGTTGGTGCTTGGAAGGGAGACCTCCAAGGAAGACTCTACAGAGGAAGGCAATGGCAAATCATCTCTGCTTCTCATATGCCTTGAAAGCCCCTTGCTGGAGTCACTGTATGTTAGTTGTGACTTTACACACACACAAAGTTTTTGGATGCTTTGTGAGGAAAGGGTAGGGTTGCCAGGTCTGGGTTGGAAAATACCTGGAGACTTTGGGGGTAAGTGCAGGAGAGGTTGGGTTTTGGGGAGGGGAGGGAACCTCAGCATGGTATAATGCCGTAGAGTCCACCCTTCAAAGCAGCCATTTTCTCCAGGGGTGCACTCCACCAATGTTCACTGTGAAAAATTTATTCAAGTCCAATTACAGTCCACAAATTTGCTTCTTCTTCTTTTTGTTTCTTTATTTTACGTCATGCAGTGCTGCTGCTGCTTCCAACAATTGTCATGCGACTGCAAATTTCATGAGAGCCAGTAGATGCCAAGAAAATGCAAGATTAATTCTGAGTAGGAGACGTAGAGCGTGGGCTCCAAGTATAAAGTGACCTGACGAAGCATTGAGGGAAACAGATTGTGTACCTGGGAAATCTGCAGTCTCATGACAATTGTTGGAAGCAGCAGCAGCACTGTATGACGTAAAATAAAGAAAGAAGAAGAAGAAGAAGCAAATTTGTGGACTGTAATTGGACTTGAATAAATTTTTCACAGTGAACATTGGTGGAGTGCAACCTTGGTTGAGTCACTGTGGTCCATTTGTGGCTGGAATTTTCTCCAGGGGAGTTGATCTCTGTCAGCTGGAGATCAGTTGACAAGTTTAGTATGGCAGATACATGTTCAAGAAGCATAGCATACATTCATGTTTCGTTCTTTTGGTGGCCAAGAGGCTTAACAATTGCCCTGCATGAACTGGGTGTGCAACCTAGAATATGTCTAGGATTCTCTGCAGTAGTTCTGTAGCAGACGAACTGATGTGGGGAAATATCCCTGAAGGTCAAAAGTTTGAAAAACCCTGGCATTTTTCTTTGAGATGCGGCCTTTAATTTGCCCAGAAGTGTAAAATAAAAGTTACGTTGAGAGATGCAACACTTAATTCAACTCTGTCTCTCAAGGATTAGAGATTAGGATGGAAAAGGCCAGAGGGGTGTATTTATTGGTCTATTGGTAGCTGCCATCATTCAAGAATAAAGAGATGATGACCGTCTGAGGAATACCAAGTGGAAGCACCCATGATATACAATATGAGCACAGTTCATTGGACTTCTGATAATTAAGAGTGGAAGCCTATACATGTTTACTCAGAAGTAGGTGCCACTTTTATTAATTGGATTTTATTCCCAGGCAAGTGTGCTGCCAAGGGCCCCAATCACATGGCAAAGTTGCCGCGGGAGAGGCACAGATGGTGGGCAGATTATCCGGGCGCGATCACACCCCAACATCTGGGAAGTGGAGGGCACCGGTGGTTTACCGCCGACAATGCACCTTAAAAAACTAGTACCTCCAAGGTACTAGTAAATGTTTGTCACGGGCTGCCTCCAGACGCCCATGGTGTGATCGCACCAGTGCGCAGCATTCCCTGCCGGCGCCGAGGGAAGGACCCGTGGTGTGCCGCCGGCGCGTCTGATCGCGTAATCGCGCATCGAACTGCGCCGGGGCAATTAGCTACGCCTCCCCCCCGCGACATCCGGCCTGTGTGACCGGGGCCTTAATTGATTATGTAGGAAGTGAAGGATTCAGCATGTAAAGTACAGCTTGACAGAGTAAAGTATTGTGCCTGTTAGATTCAGGTGGATAGCTGTGTTGGTCTGAAGCAGCAGAACAAAGTTTGCACATGAAAGCTTATACCTTGAATTAAACTTTGTTGGCCTTAAAGGTGCCACTGGACTCAAAATTTATTGTGCCTGTGGTTTATGTATAATATCACTGAAAAAGTGATTTAAGAAATTAAATCATCAACTCTGGTTTAGGACAGAGAAGTTCCTATAACCCTTCTTTTCTTCCTGTGGTTAAATAAGAGGTCGAATCTTTTGTCCAGAGACAAGTAGCAACCACTTAACCTTGATTGCATATATTTGAAGCCAGGGCATAATGACAGATACAGAATGAAATGAAGCTGCTTGCTTCAAACATATTGTCATAAATTTGAAAGCTCAGGCAATGTAGATGAATATATACATACTCCCTCTTTCCATTGCTTCTGCAGTATATTATTACTATATAAGATGAACCCTGACCAATGGCCCTTCTGGTCCATTGCTCTGTTTCTCACGAGCATGTTTCTCTAACAAGTCCATACACAGGGCATGAAAGCAACAGGCCTTCCTTTGCTGCTGCTTTCCAGCTACTGGCAGGCAAGAGTAGAGTTGCCAACATCCAGGTGGGGCCTGGAGATCTCCCAGAATTACAAATGATCTCCAGACCATGTGAATCAGTTCCCTTGGAGAAAATGGCTGCTTTGGAAGGTGGACTGTATGGTGTTATACCCCACTGAGGTTCCTTTCCTTCCAAATCCTGTTTGATGTAGTGGTTAAGTGCGCGGACTCTCATCTGGGGGAACCTCCACTTGCACCTGCTGGATGACCTTGGGCAAGCCATAGATCTGGCACAACTGTTCTTGAAAAAGAGCAGTTTCTGTCAGAGCTCTCTCAGCCCCACAGTTTCTGTCAGAGCTATCACAGGGTGTCTGTTGTGGGGAGGGGAAGGGAAAGGAGTTTCTAAGCTGCTCTGAGACTCCCTTGGGTAGTGAAGGGCAGGGTATAAATCCAATCTCCTCCTCTTCCTTCTTCCCAGGATCTACTCCCAAATGTCCAGGAACGTCTTAACCCAGAGCCGGCAATCCTAGTAGAGGCATTCTGCCTCTGAGTGTTTAGCCATCACGGTTGATCGGCTGTGATCTATCCTCCATGAATCCTCAAAAATAGTAACATTCTAAGACTAAAAGGAATGTGAAAATAATGAAGTCTACTGCAATATATTGATGCATCTGTGTTGTCTCTAAAGATCAGCAGTTGCCTCAGAATGGCACCATAGAGTGCAGTTTTAAAGATTTTATTTTACACTCATTGCTACTGCCTAGTTTTCCTGCAGAGGTTATTTTTTGAGAGCATAGATATGTTGCCTATCCCTCATTGTTAGGAGCAACTGTTTTGACTGAGAAGTCAGTTCCATCTCACTATATTCAGAGGGGTGGGAAGTAGTGAAGAGGACCTTTAAAAAGCCTCATCCTCAGAGTGAAAGAGGAGAGCGCAAAAGTGGGTTTGAAGCTCCACATCAAAAAAACTAAGATTATTCAGGTATTTCCCAACCCAGAGTTGGCAACCATAAATATTTTTCAGTGGGGCTTACGTGTGCGAAAGTGCCCTTAGGCACAGTCCTAAGAACGCTATCCTGGAACTAAGCTCCACTAAATAAGATGGAAATTATTTCCCTAAACAGCATGATAAAAAGTAGAGACATCACCCTGCCAACAAAAGTCCGCATGGTCAAAGCAATGGTATTCCCAGTAGTCATGTATGGCTGTGAGAGTTGGACTATAAGGAAGGCCGAGCGCCGAAGAATAGATTCTTTTGAACTATGGTGCTGGAGGAGACTCTTGAGAGTCCCTTGGACTGCAAGAAGAACAAATCAGTCAATCCTCAAAGAAATCAACCCTGACTGTTCCCTGGAAGGCCAGATAATGAAACTGAAGCTCAAATACTTTGGCCACCAAATGAGAAGGGAGCACTCACTGGAGAAGACCCTGATGCTGGGAAAGATTGAAGGTCAAAGAAGACGGGGACGGCAGAGGATGAGATGGTTAGACAGTGTCATAGATGCAACAAACATGAAATTGAGCAAACTTCAGAGGACGGCGGAAGACAGGAAGGCCTGGTGTGATCTGGTCCATGGGGTCACGAAGAGTCGGAC